CTACACGTGGAGACTGAACTCAAGGTAAGAATAAAGTTAGAAAAGTAGGCTAACAATTAAGGTTACTTGGGTTTGTACATTCTTTACAGTGTTCCAATTGTTGTACAAAAATTAGGCTTTAAATGTAATTTGAAGATTGCTTTGTCGTACGTGGATTTTCTGTTAATTACCATGTGGCAACGCTGGGATTGCTTTATGTTGCTTTACGTGTAGTCTAACATTAATTGAAACTTTGCAAGTGGCCATAGAATGGTTTGTTCTAGTGTAATTTAAAGCCAGCGTTATAATCCAGCAATAAAATAATGTAATGTTAGTGCAAGCACGTGGATTTTTAGAGCAGCCATGAATAAATTAGGGTAACATCAATCGTTTTTTTCCCCCAACCTGGGCCTAATTTTATTCTTTAAAAAAATATGTATTTGTGTTTAAGTGACTGATGGGAACAACAATCTTTTAAATTGGCCAGGCTTAGACCGCTTCAGTGTGTAGATGCGAAAGAATTAACGTTAGGCCTAGGCAAATCGTATGGGTAATTGCGTTCTTTTACATCCACAAAACCTGCTTGTTTTGCCACTGACATGCTATTCTAAGTGTCTGACGACATTACCTAAGATCGCGGACAGCTCCAGCGTTAAAATTAACTCGTTAAATCATTTTACTTGATCTAAAAACTGACTATCATATTAGAAAGATTTAAGATCTTGGATATTTGGCCACTATTTATGACAAAACGGAGTTGCAATGACTTTCTGTCTGTCTTTCTTTTTTTTTCTTTTGTCAAATAGTGCAGATAACCATTATAATATCCTTATAATTTATTTGTGTTCACATAGATGGAATTGACAGCATCCGCGAATAACTCCAAACGTGGGCGCATTTTTAGAAATATTGATTTAGTTTGCGCGCTCTGTTTTTCTTCATGGTTGTGTAAGGTGTTTTTTATACTTTATGGTTAGAGCGCTCATTGGGGTTTTTCAGCCGTCAATCATCTCGTGAACATAGTCCCGCCTTCAGAATGACGCGGTTCACTGCACGCTTCCCCATCGGAGCTCCGAGGGAAAACAAACCCAAAGTAACAATTAAACCGAAACTGAAGAAAATTTGCTTACTGATGAGCAGGTCAACTAATTGCAGTGTTGTGGAGAGAGTAAAATGTTAAACTATTTTTAATTAGGCTATAGTTGTAGTTACAATTTTTTGCCATGTTTTTGGTTTCTTGCATTGGTCAGTTAACTATAACACTGTGTCCCTACCAGGTGATCCTCCTGACAAGTAGGCTACACTGGATAAAGGTTTGTAAATTTCTCTAAATTGGTTTATTGTAGTGAGAAAACTGGGGGTATAGTTATAATGTCAAATGGCAAAATTCCTGTTGTCCTGTTTATATAGAAAGTTTTAGTGTTCTTCAATACAGTACATGTGACACACTTACTCATGACCAGTGATGCTGGCATTTCTACAAAAAAAAAAAAAAAAAAAAGACAAAAATAGTAATGCACAGTAACTTGGATAAGTAACTGAAATCTGAACACTTTTGTCAGTCACAAGCAATAATGCGCTACTATTTCCAAAAACGTAATCAGATTAAATTTACTTATCCAAGTTACTGTGCGTTACTATTTTTGTCCTTTTCTTTAGTAGAAATGATGGCTGGTATTCGATATGAAACCGAAATTGCGACACTCCCTGTGTCACTGTGTGAGAAGGCAGAATCACAACACACCACTTCCAACTATCAGAGTTATCCTTCCCGTCCAGATCCAATGCTACCACATTTTTAAATTACTATTAGTATTCTTTGAAGTTAACATTATAAAATACATAGACCTACACCACACTGCACATTCTTCGAGCACATGCTTGCACAAATGTACATAAGTATATAGAACAAAACTACCACAGCACGTAATCCCACCAAGATTTCTGTTTAGAGCAAAGAGCTGTATGCATTCTTCACATTAGCAAACAAAAAGTAGGTTAAATTCTCTCTTGTATATTTCACAGTTTTGTGATGACGACGATTCTGCAGCCATCCAAGAGGAAATCACTTCATTTGTACTCAACATGTTCGTGGTCACCAAAACCAGGGATGGAGGTCTCGAGAAGCAAGCTGGAATAGCCATCAAGGGAGAAGAGGTCCTTTTTGGAATTCCCAGTGTAGCACATGCTTGCACCTATACCTTATGGGCATTATTTATGCCTTGGAACTAAGCTATCCAAATAAACTAAAATACACCTTTGGAGGATGTTAACAAAAACATGCCCTCCAAAATCCAGCTTATGGCCTAAAAGTATGACAGACGTTGTTGTTTATAACTCTGTTTGGACTTTTTGGGACTTTGGCTTATTCACCATATCCCCCAGAGTTAAATAAGTCCACACATACCCTTCTCATCTCTGTGCATGCCGTAACAGTCAGACGCACCCACTGTTAGCCTAGCTTAGCACAAAGACTGGAGGTAAACAGCTCAAGCTAGCATACTAATCTTAATAAATGACAAAATAACACCAACATTTCCTATTTACATGTTGTGTTTTTTATAGTCACTGTGTGTACAAATAACAAGGTCATATGAGACACAGCCATCTTCAAAACCGTACACATACAGGAAACTATATTCTCAGAAGGTGAATCACTTCTACTTGGTCAGAGTGATTAGCGCAACACTCTGAGCGAACTCTCTGCTCCTCACCACGGGGCTTCTCAGGTGCTGTGAGAAAATCACTGCATAGAAGAAGTGCTTCACCTTCTGAGAATATAGTATCCAGTGTGTATACGGTTAGAAGATGGCTGTGTCTCATGTGACTTTGTTATTTGAACACTCTGTGACTATACAAATCACAACATTTAAATAGGAAAATGTTGGTGTTGTTTTGACACTTATTAGGATTAGTATGCTAGCGGGACTGCTGACTTACTGACTTTGTTTACTTAGGTAAACTGCTATTTACCACCAGTCTTTGTGCTAAGCTAGGCTAGCAGTGGGTGGGTCAGACAGAGTTATGGCACACACGTAGATGAGAAAGGTATGTATGGACTTATCTGACTCTGGGGGATATGGTGAATAAGCTTAAGTCCCAAAAAGTCAGAGTGTTCCTTTAAAGTCTTAGAATATGTTACTGTACATGACTGAAAAACACAATTGTATAGAAAATACTCTGTAAATGTTTATTTTTATTGATAAGTCCTTACTGAGAGTGTTGAAATATAGTTAAACATCTGGTTGGTTGGTTGAGACTGATGTAGTACGTTTAAAGGGATAGTTCACCCAAAAATGAAAATGAAGTCATTAATTACTCACCCCCATGCTGTACCAACCCCGTAAGACCTTCGTTCATCTTCGGAACACAAATGAAGATATTTTTGATTAAATTTGAGAGGTGGATCACTGCTACATAGGCTGCCTAAGACATTGAAACTTGACGGCCCAAAAAATCAATTAAGAAAATGTTTAAATATTCCATGTGACTACAGTGGCTCAAGTATAAGTTTATATAGATTTGAAGATCACAGTTCTCGCGCATGCGTCGTGGAAATCTCTTGAACTCTCGTCTTTTTTTCGCACAAAAAGTAGTCTCGTCGCTTGATAAACTTATAGTTGAGCCACTGTAGTCACATGGAATATTTAAACATTTTTTTCATTGACTTTCTGGGCCGTCAAGTTTCAATGTCTTAGGCAGCCTATGTAGCAGTGATCCACCTCTCAAATTTAATCAAAAATATCTTCATTTGTGTTCCGAAGATGAACGAAGGTCTTTCGGGGTTGGTACAGCTTGGGGGTGAGTAATTAATGACTTCATTTTCATTTTTTGGGTGAACTAACCCTTGGTCACAGCATGCACATCTTGAAGTATTGAAGGGGAATTTTGTTACCATATTCCTGAAGACAATAAAGCCTGTCAACTTCCACTTAATGTTCCACGTCCATTCCTTTAGCACCACCATAAAGCACAATTTTCTATTGTACACAATGTTTCAACCTGTGAGGTGAATATATTTTATTATACTTTTACATTTTTTATACTGACCTTGTCAATTTTTACTATCAAATGGCGAAAATGTCAACTTATATTTGATTAGCACATTCCACGGGGATAGTACCAGTTTTGAAATAGTAGTAGTAAAAAATAACTATTTGCATTTATAATTTCAGTAAAAAACTAAGTTTTTAATAATGAGTAAATGTAACTTTAAAATACACTAATATTAAAAAAAAAATAAAACAAATAGATCCCACTTGAAATTTGTAATATGGAAATGTAAAAAGCTTGTTGGATTCAATCAAAATTACTCATTCAGAACTCTTAAAGTTATGTAGATCACACACATAAATAAATTACTACAGCAATGCTAAAATTAAGTTAACTTTATGTGAAAATTCTATTTCAACAAACAGAAAAATTAAGTAGTTTCAACAAAGACTTGTCTTGTTGGATCTACGTAATAAAGTTATGCAAAAAAATTCATTATATTTTTTAAGTAAATCAAGCAGATTATTTTTATCAGTGTAGATTTGTTTGGCTTTTTTTTTTTCTTTTCATTTGCCTTGTATTTTGTTTGTCCGTTTTGGTTTGCAAAAGATTCATCTCATCCCTGTTGTAATTCTATTCGATGGAATGACACAATAAAAGTCTTGTTTGAAATTTTGAACATGTTCATAAGTTTCCAGAGTGTGCCATAAGGGTCTTTTGTTGTTGCAATGTGCAATAACCACTTTGTTCATCGGACTTTAACATCCGACTGAATATTGCCAACCACCAGTAAGTATGTTGTTTCAGACACTCACTTCTTTTTGTTTAATTTTTTTATTGTTTTATTTCATTTTTTTTTCAAAAATAAAAATATACAGTCTTTCACGTGCTCGCGAGAAACGGATTTCGGGAAACACAAAAAACAGACTGTAAAAGCCATACACTGGGTTTGTTCGGGCTTTTATTATGTTTTCTCTTTTCTTTGCACAGTTGTGTACATGCACGCGCATGGTGACGTCATCGGTTACTGTTGTGTGCTCACCTGTGGGCATTGGGCAAGCTTGAGTTTGAATTATGGCTGCAGGGTGAACATGGGTAGAAACTTTCTGTTGACCCTTACCACTGGCGTTAATCGTCGTCATCATATTACTAACATCTTTAACTGATGTCTCGGATGTACCTTTGCACTGCCTACAACATGCATCACTCAAAAAGTAAGTGATTGGTTTTCTATGTAAGTGAACTAGCGTAAAAAAGAGACTCAATACGTAATGGTTCATGGCGTGATGAGTGCTCAGTGTAACGTAAATCCTCATGTCTCAGCCTGCTGTGGCGTTTTAGTTGTTTTGGTTAGCTTTGGTTGTTTTTGGTTTTTGTTTTAGTCATATACGCCGCAATACAGACCTTATGGTTTACGAACAATGTCTTATGCATCTGTATGACTAAATGACAGAGTATTTTAAGATGTTGTTATAATGAGAAGGAATCATTAGGCATTGTGCCGATTTGTATTGAGGAAGTGATGAAATGTGCGTGTCTTGAAAATGGGAAACGTCAGGTGTCGCTTCAGTGGCAAGGTGAAGTATACGTATAAGGCACCTTTTCTCGTTCTCACTCATTGATTTCTTGAAAAAGCGTAATATTAAACTTTGTGCATCCACTATTGACAACACATGTTAAAGGGATACTTCAGGATGTTTTAATATTATTAAGCTTTGTATTAGTAGGAAACCTGTAATATTTTCGAATTACCATGCTTTCCACCCTCATATCCCCCTGAGACGAGAGATTTATGTATTTTTTTGTCTGGAAAAAAATCCTCCGATGAGGCAAAAATCCGTCATTTTGCATCATCGGAGGATTTTTTGGCCAGAGGCTAAAGTCAGTAGTTGGGTCTGTCCCGCATGTTCTCCACCCGCCCATAGTGGGATCTCACTCAGAATGAACACTGGTGTCAGCCATCTTTTTTTGGAAGCTAGCAGGCTCTTGTTCTGTGGAGAAAGCTGCGTAGTTGGGGTTACCATTCTCTTTTTCCCGGACATGTCCGGCCGTCGATGTCTGGGATTCAGCTTTTGCCTACTGCAGTCGACATTCATTGTTTACATGCACAGCTTTTGTTTCAATCTAACTGAATTCATTCAGATTGGTGAATCTAAATGTAGTGTTTACATGAACGCTAAACAAGTGTTCATCTACATAAGCCAAAAATACATTTTCTGGATTGTTTTTAGTCTAGAAAGCTCCAAATGTATAAATAATTTCACATTTCTTCTACATAAATGACCCATTTTAAATACACATTCATCTTTCCAGAGGTGAAGTATCCCTTTAATGACCTCTCACGCATAAAGAAAATGACATTGTTGGCCACACATAACACATTAATCAAACCAATAAGTTTGAAAACACCTTTTGCATTTTACAGTGCATGCAGCATTGGTCAGTCTATCATGTAAATCTATCATCTATCAAATCTATCATAGACATTGGTCAGTCTATCATGTATCAAACCGTGACCCCAAAACTGAGGTACATTCCAAAACGTGACTCCTGTATATATACTGAAAAAGTTTTAGTGTATTTTTTTTTTAATCATTGTTATGTTTCCCAGACTGCAGTAGTAGTATTTCAGCTTACTGATCTGTGTAGGAAGTGAATGAATCAAACTGTCAGCACATGAAGGTTTACTACAACCAATGTCATTCCCCTCGGTGTGAAAATGCTTTTGTGTCCTCTCTATCCCAGCATCAACAAAAATGGATGCATAGTTTTAACCAAAATACCATATTGTTTAGTTTGCTAAGACAAATGTCGCTTTTATTATTCCTCATGCAGTTCAGGGTCTGTAACTCATCCTGCGCTCCAGTGATGTATGTTTATTTGACAGGATCAGTTAGAGAGACATTTCTGTCTCGCTCGGTACATTGTGTATGATGATCTTCATGCACCGTGCCGGCTGAGCCTCTTTGTCCTTTTAAATGTCTCCTTTTGTGTTGGTGACCTGTAATAAATGAGTGTGCGTTTAAAAGTGGCAGTTGTGTGAAGTGATTAGGGAGAGAGGGAATTCCAGACGAGAGAACACAGTATCACCAAAACTGTGGCTCCGTTCCAAACCCTAATGAGCTCCCTATATGGTATGATTTGGCATCACATGCATGCTTCTCAAAATTATCTGATTTATTACCAATCAAATTACCTATTTGTGAAAGGGGATATCAATGCATTGAGGATTATGCAATTCTAGAATGCATTACAAGAAGTTTCTGAACTTTTTAATTCAAGATGTCAGATGGAGTCAAGACAATGTTTATTCAGTGCTGAAAACCTAACAAAAAAGTTCAGTGTTATCATGATTTATTGTACATGGAATAGCATATATTTGTGTTATTTTAAAATAGCTTTTAATCTTCTATTTTTTTTGTTTGTTTTTTTGTAAATGTATGTGCCTTCGTCATTTATTTTTATTTTTATTTCAGTTCAAATTTATTTTTAAAGTAATTTCAAGTTTTATTTTTTTAGTTTGTCTGTATTTTAAGTAAAATATATTTTTAATTAATTTAATTAATAAAAAAATGTTTTAATTAAAAAAAAGGAAAAGTAATATTTGTTTAATAGTAAACAATAACAAGACTTGTTGGTAACATGGGGATTTTGCAGTACCATTGCACATAATTAACAGAATGACAGATAACAGAATATTAACTTTTGGGTGAAATTATTACTGATCTTACTACTACCAGGTGTAATTGTGGTATCATATGTGCTTTTTGTTAATAAAAACTTTGTATAAAGGGATAGTACTCACTCACATTTACTCACCGTCAAGTTGTTCTAAACCTGTACGAGTTTTCTGCTGAACACAAAAGAAGATATTTTGAAGAATGTTGGTAACCAGACATTTGACTATGGAAGCTCGTTTCCGCCACAGAATGAAAAATAAAAAAGGTAATTGCGACTTTTTATCTCACAATTCGGACTTTTTTTCTCACAATTGCGAGTTTACATCTCGCAATTCTTACTTTATAACACATAATTGCGAGATGTAAAGTCAGAATTGCGAGATATAAAGTCAGAATTGAGTGATATAAAGTCGCAATTGCATGGTATAAAATTTCAAAATTACGAGGTATAAAGTCAGAATTGCAAGAAAAAGTCGGAATTGTGTGATATAAAGTCAGAAATGCACGATATAAAGTCAAAATTGCGTGTTATAAAGGCAGAATTGCAAGAAAAAGTCGGAATTGCGCAATATAAAGTCAGAAATGCATGATATAAAGTCGAAATTGCGTGTTATAAAGGCAGAATTGCGAGATGTAAACTCGCAATTGTGAGAAAAAAATGTCAGAATTGTGAGATTAAAAAGTCGCACTTCTGTTATTTTTTTCTCAGAATTGCTTTGTATTATATATTTATATTTATATAACTTTATATTATGCAATTCTGACTTTATATCTCACAATTCTGACTTTATATCGCGCAATTGCGACTTTATCTTGCAATTCTGACTTTATATCGCGCAATTCTGACTTTATATCTCGCCATTCTGAGATAAAAAGTCGCAATTTTTTTTTTTTTTTACATTTTTTTTATTCAGTGGTGGAAACAAGCTTCCATAGTTGACCGTGACACCACTGACTTTCATAGTAGGAAAAAAAACAATGGTGTCACGGTTCAGGGTGTTTTCATTTTTTGGGTGAACCATAGTAAAACGTGTTGAATTATCATCTTCTTATTAGGGCTTTGAGGCAGAGCCTTGTGTGTGTTTGTCTGTAAAAGTGTACACTCGATTTAGGTGACAGTGGGAGCACAGCTGTCACTTTGCTGCAGAAATATCTCTGCTGTTTTCCCATAAAGCTCTCTGTGAGGAGGTGGGAGTGATGATGTGTGACCTTGGATTACTGGCTCTTCAAAAGGATGTTCTGAGAAACCATCATGACTGTGCTTTATGCCCTCAGTAGGGAGTTTGATGTAATGTTCGCTCACAATAGTAAGAAATTGGATTACAGGGGAGAGCGGATGTGTTTTAGTCAAGGAGGAGTTTAAGCAACTGAGACATTGTAAAGAGTTAGACAAGCGTGCCATTCAGAGTAAAAGACAACATTTTTGGTCTATATTTATGCTAATCGGGGAACATTTGGTTTCAAAATCCATTCACACCAAGTGATGTTTCAATCCAAATACAATTTGGAGCACCAGTGTGAACAACAGAACTGGATCTGTTTTAGGTCCTGTTTGTCCATTTTCAACAACCCCCGAAGGTGGTTAGAAATGCATGTGACATTGCTTTCGTTTCAAGAACGTTCATGCAGTCGAACAGCAGCAAAGGATCGCCTACTTACCGAAAAAAGAAGGGTTTAAACTTTGCCGTTATGTCCATCTTTATATAACCGTCTAATTTAAATTCCCGAAGAAGCACTTATACATGCATAGCATATTACTTACTGATGCAAATGTCAAACATGATATAGTTTAGTCACTGTTAGAGATTTGAGATTTGCATCGCCATCTTTGATGTAGTCGATCAATGTGCTTCAATGACTTTTCAAGATTTTACTGTACCAGTATGCAAGTCATTATTATTATTTTTTTTATTTTAGCTTCAATATTTGAACTTGAAAAATATCCGAAACTTTCCTCTAAATATCTTATTTTGTGTTTGGTAGACGAAAAAAATGGCATACAAAGTTTAGTAGAAGAATGACACGAGGGTGAATAAATATATATATATATATATATATATGTGTGTGTGTATGTATGTATATGTGTGTGTAATATATATGCAAAAAAAAAAAAAATATATACATTATATATTTTTTATATATAATATATATATATATATATATTTTATACCTTAATATATGTATATATATATATATTTTTTTGCAGTCCTTTAGTAATACCAGCGAATGTGCGTGCTTATATAAAGGCTCATAAAAAAAAAATAAATAAATAAAAAAAAACTACAGCACCGAATAAAATTACACTAAATACTTGAAATAAGGGAACTAAACCTTGTATAATGAACATTCAGTGACATTCAAGCTGTCGGCCAGTGCTTTGGAGAACCTGTACGTGTCCTCACACACACTCACCTGCAAACACAGTTGTGCTCCCCTGTGTCTTCCTTTAGCACCACCCACCATGATGAAACACTTTCCTCCTGGCAAGGTGAAACTGTGCTGAAGCTCTATTATTAATGAGACACAGTGAGAGA